CCCCCGCCTGTTCCCACCTCTTCTGAGACAAAACAGCGCCGGCCCCAGACCAAAAACCAAGCCAGCTCCGAACGCGCGAGCCTGCGAGCGGTGGGCTCTCGCCCGCGGGACCGACGCGACCGCCCTCAGTGACCCTCTCTCCGAGGACCGCGCGCGCGGGCGTTCCACAGCGGTTTGGACGGGAAGGTTGCTGGTGGGCGCCAGGGGTGTGTATGCAGGGGGAGACGATCAAGGGAAGGGGCGCGGTGAGGAGACCCCCACCCTCGGGCGCGCCAGGGGCGCCGAGGGGCGGTTCGCTAGGCGAGTTCAATTGGGACCCCGGTCGTGGTGTCTGCCCGTCCCCTCGCGTTCTTCCCTCCAGCCTCCTTCCTGTCGCGTTCAGGGTGAATGGAGCGCCCCCCACTCCTCGCTCCACAGAGACGCCCACTCTGCCCCTCCGCGGCCCCGGGGTGGGGACCGCTTTCCCCGGCTGGGCCATTCCCAGCCCGAATCTGTTGGGGAGGGCCGGCAGCTGCCGGCTGAGGATCGGGTTGGACATCATAGCTTGGTCCGGGTCCGCGGGCCGCTCCCCTGCCGGAGCTGCTCTCCCTCAGAGAAGCGTCGGAAACCCGACTGGCTTTTGCTTTTGTTCAGTCCGCTACTCTCTGGAAGCCGAGGAGCAGCTGGGGTGGGCGGATGCCCAAGGAGGGGGCGAGGAGTTCCAGGTGCAGTCTCGAAGTGACCCCTGAACTGGCCAACATATGCGCCTCTGGATGGGGAACGGCTCCTGATCACTAATCAATGCCCGGGAGCCGGCTTTGAGTCCGCGGTGTCCGCCGCGGCGGCGCTCTGTCACGCGCCTCTCCAGCACTCTAGAAAGCGCTATCTCGAGACGCACAGTTCCATTCATGGAGCTGTGCCTAGGGTTTGATTAAGTTCATCCCTGCCAGTGCCCCAAAGGGAGAGTGTCTGCTACGATTCCATGCAGTAGCCTTTTATAGGGGCCCTACCACGGCAAGGTGGCTGCCTTACAATCATCTCAATGTATAAGATACTTATTGAGCACCTACTGTGTGCAAAGGAGACGCGTTACAAACTTTTCAATTTAGCAGATATTTGTTGAGTACTTAACTATGTTTAAGGTAGCTGTGTTATGGCCGTATTTTGATAGATATTTCCTGAGTGCGTACTAAGTAATTTTTTGAGTGCTGCCTGTGTACTTTTCAGGGATATATGGAGATGGAGATGCAGGAGAGAGGAGCTGTCCTCTCACCTTTCAGGCTTCAGTTCCTTTAATAATGTGGACTTGAACTTTCTTTACTCCTTGTCATGTAAGGCAGGAACAGCTCTCTTTCTTCTGCTCTATAACTTGAGGCGTTGTCAGAGGGAACAGAGCAGAATATTGAAAAATGTTTACATTGGGACATCTTCCTATTTACTTTCCTTACAATGGAAAACAGAAAGATCCTCTGTGCAAAGGAGGGTGCTAGTTATGGCAGGGATCAAAGGTTAATACAGCAAAGCCCTGACATTCAAAGAGATGGAGAATCTGTGGTGGGAACCCACAGACAGACAAAAGGATGGTCACACTGAAGTAGGGGAGGGGAGGGAGAAGCACCAAGGTAGGGGACTTTCCTGTCCCTAGTTCCAAATTGGTGACAGTGGTGTGGGTGGGAGGGTGGCTTTAAAATCCCAGCATTGCTCATGACTGGAGCCTAGGGCAGAGTCAAATGGCTTGAGGGTCCTTCCTGCTAAGAGTATTTATGAATCCATTATTCTGATAATTTTGGGACCATGAGACTCACTGGAATATTAGATGGACAAGAAAATGGCCACCCCTCATTCCATCAGCAAATATTATTACTTGAGCACATACATTGTTTTATATATAGCCCATTAGCTGAAAATGTAGTCTGAATAGTCTGCATGAAAGGACACAGCATGTTCTCACAAGAAACACATACAATGCCTCTTTGAGTTTTATATGGGAAAATCCAGGAACAGATTTTTCTTGGAATTTCACATCAGAAAGAAAAACTTATTCTGTCATGGATTAGTGGCTTCCCATTTATCAGTGAGCAAGAATTTGCTTTGAGTCTAGTGTATTTATCTTTTTACCTTGGCCTCCAGCAATTCCTAGTGCCTTATCCAGTTCTGGTTGGGGGAGCGGGGGAGGGGTCCTTTTCTTTATTGTTTCTGATCTCCTTTTAAAATTATTTTTTTAACTGGATTTTTTTTTCCTGTGGACTTGAAAGCCCCCTCACATCTTTTCTGAAAGGCAGTGTGTTGACCTAGGAAGCACGTGAAGCCCTCCATAAATGGCTTAAGATCTGTGCTTACAGAAGAAGAGGGAGGGAAAGCCAACAGAGGGCACAAGCAAGAGCGCAGAGTGAACACAGACTGGCCTTGCTAGATGCAATAGGATCCAGCCAGGGGAAGAAGACAAATAAAGGCTTCCCTCCCAAGTGGAGGGAAATCCTGTAATCGAAGGTGTGAAGGAAAACAAAGCTCTTTAGAATGCTTTAGGAATTCCATAGCTCTCTGGAATACTTCCCATTTATTCAACAAAGAGCGCTGCCTCAGCATTTTACTGTCTGTCCTTGACTTCTCTAGGTGTCAGGTGGGGGCTGCACCCAGCACACAGTGGGGTTCACTGTCCTGGCAGCTGGTGGTAGAACCACACCTGCTTTCCAGCTGCATCCCTACCATTCTTTCAAGCATCCCTGGGGTTCTTTTTCACCTGAGCTGAACTTGATTGTAATCTTCAACGCCAAGAATGTGACTTCTTTTTTCTCCTGCATCCTTCCCTCCCTGCTGGCTCAGCGGTAGTCTGGTGAGATGACACCTATTTCAGTCCTCCGTGTCCCCCACTTCTTCTCCCTTCCCCTGGCTCTCTTCTGTCTTTTCTTCCTAACCCTTTCAGCTGCTCTGAAACTTTCACTGTATAAAAATGCAGAGGAAATCTCTTCTGCCATCAGTCACTTTGTCTTGCATATGAATATAGGTCACTTTTCTCTCTTGCAGGGGTCTTTGCACTGTAAACCTCATTGTGGAATGAAACGCTTTGTTCCACGGAGGGCTTGAAACCCTGCCATGAGACCCCATCCGGCCATGAGAACCCACACAGGATTTCAAGTGCAAACGCTGGGTGTTGGAGATAACTGCAGACAGAGAGCCTTTCCCAGCGCTTCTTGAAATTCTGCTACCTATGCCTCAAGAAGCCACTCATGTGGGGTCCTTGCAGTTCTATGACCTATGACAGTTTTGAGCCTTGATGGTGGAAGACAGCTCTGTGCGAACTGCAGTCGGCCTGGCTTTACACCCTGTACTCTGGAGTTAAAGGTTAATCCGTATCCAGGGAATCTTGCTTCTTTACCTACATGGGCCTATTATTTTAAAGCAGGAATTCTCAACCTGGGCATAATTGATGTGGGGTGGGAAAGTCGTTGTTAACCAGGGACGGGGGCTGTCCTGCACATAATGGAATGTTTGTGTTTACCAGTGTCAGTCACCTCTACCCACTGGATGTCAGTGACACTCACACCTGTATCTTTGGCACTGAGAGAATCAGTTTGAATTAATGATTAGTTAATTTGGGACTAGATGATCTGGTGATGAGACTGGTTACAAAACTTTCTTGCTTGGACCTTTCTCCACCTGCACACTCTGACAGCCAGTAAGATGGTACAGTGTCTTAGCAAAAAGAATGGGGCTATCTGATTCCCGGCCCAGCCTTGGCACTGACCTCTGTGTAACCTTGGCAAGTGCATAAATTCTCTCAGCCTCAGTTTCCCCAGAAACCCTTGTTGTCTAATCTCTGCAATTATGTGTAGATTTGGCCCAAATACCCAAACAGATCTTTACTCTTGAAAGAGTTTATAAAATTAGACTACTTTGAATGCAAATGGAAAGCTACCTATTCATATACATATATAAATATTTGGGGCTCCATCATAAGGGTTTCTAGCCCTTACCTTAGCAATGTCCTGACTCCTGACCCCTGAGGCTGCTGGAAAGCGCTTCTCAGGTTCCTTTACTAGATTGACAAGTCTTTCCACTTGGGTAAAAGTGACCCTTAACACCCAAGCACACATCTCTGCCTTTCTTTCTCACAGATCTTAAGCTGGAAGTCCCTCCCTAATTTGTCAGCTCTTTGGTGATTTCAGGAAGAACTTAAAAAAAAAAAAAGTCCTCTAGTCTCTTGGTTTTGTTCCCTGGGAAGATTGATTCAAACTACCCAGTTAGGACCGGCAGGGGTGGCAAGGGTGGGGGGCGGGTAGGGAAGCAGAAGGGAGGTCTGGTCTGTTACAGTGACAGGGAGGGCAGGAGCCCATAGTTAACAGCTGTGCTTTGCTGGCCCGTGACTAGAGAACATTCTTCGTCCACTCCAGTGTGTCTTCCTGGTCATGGGTA